TGCTTTAAGACTCAAAGCAAATATTAGTTCTTGTTTGTTATCATATGTTTGACGAACAAACATATCATCATTTGGACCTAAACTGTGAAATGGTCCGGGTTCAACAATAGGATCAGGACAATCAGGTATGGGAGGCATACCGTAAAATATGTCTGAAGCTTTTTTCCCGTGTGTGAACTCATCTTCTGACCATCCTTCATTTGACTCTTCACCGTCTGACAAAGTTTTGTCAGTCAGTCTTCCAAACTCATATAAATTTTTTTCTTCCACCTTATTCACTGTCATAGTTTCTTCTTCTGGACACTTTTCAACATTATCAGATACAACGTTTTCAACATTGTATGGTACAACTTTCTGAACCGCTTCTGTCTGTTCGACCAATCCCTGAAACACCTCTAAATACAAATGCACAATCTTCTTCGTTTCAGAAATTACATTTCTGAGTTGATGAACATCTGCTTCGTCTAAAATATTCATAACATACCCATGAACCGGGTGTTGAAATGACAATGATATATTACTATTGAACACATTAGCCTTACTTTTGACCAAATCAAACAATATTCGACGATCAAAATTTGGCGGAAGCAGTAGACCTAAGTTGTTAAACTTTGGTCTAACGTAGGTGTTAATCCCATTTGAAGTCTGCCAAAAACCCCCAGTACATAAAATAACAAGACTCATATTTTTTTTTTGGAAAATCAAATGAAAAGAACTGATCTATCGACCAAATGGAGCTAAAAATATGAAAAATAACACTTTGTATCAAAAAACCCTTTCAAATGGTCGTTCCAACCACCCACTCCGCGGAGACATTACTCTCTCCGCGGAGGTCCTCGTAAGCATCTCCGCGGAGGTACTTATGACTCTAAACAACTCACTCCGCGGAGCTCTTATTGTGTCCGCAGAGGGCTTACGCGGAGGACTAATTTAAAGGCTAAAAAACCATACTTTCGAGTGGTCCGCGGAGATGACGTCATTCCGCAGAGGTCCGCGGAGGGTCATCCGCGGAACGTATGTCTATAGCTGGAAAAATCAAATTTTATGACTAAATTTAGAAATTCACCCTCATTTTTTGTCTATTAGTGGTGTTTTCCCACATAAATAATCCAACTTTCTCAACCCACACCCAATATACAAGAACCTAAGCATATGTTACAAGCTAAGGGTGCACATGAAAGATAAAAGAGCGACATGAGCAGTGGCGGATGCCTATAAGGGCTGGGGGAGGCCATGACCCCCAGCTTTTTGCTCCACTAAATATTACAATTTAATTTTGATATGCTTTGACTAAATAGTAGTATTATAAATATTTTGTATTAGTGTCTGTTGATGAGCTTCCAAATCAGGGAGGAGATACAATTCTAATTTTTCATTTAAATATACATTGTAATCCCTTCTATAATTTAGATCATGCACGACGATGTGTGATAAAATTAATATATATATATATATATATATATATATATATATATATATATATATATATATATCTTTTTATCGTACACTAGTCTCATACATATGATGTTGAAACAAAATTGAAGGTAAAAACTTTTTTCTTAAAATAAGGATGTTCATATAATATATTTTTAATATAAATCTAATGTCTTTGATAATCATTATGAGAAATTAATAAAAACATTTGTTTTCTTCGATGAGTTTGTTTTTATAAGGTATAATTTTTTATAAAGGCTTGTTCGTAAAGAAAAAAAAATTATTTGTTTTTTTATATGTTGTCTGTACAAAACTAGTTCAAAAATATATTGAAACATCCACCTTAATATACTAATAAATCTACTATGAATTTGTAGTGAGCCAAAAAATTAAGATCAATTAGACTTTTGAATTGTTCGGTGTAAAAGACTATAAAAACCTTAAATGACTTTTATTGATATTATTAAAAATTTTGAATATGGTTTTGGCCCCTCACTTCTATTGATCATGTTCCGCCCCTGACATGAGGGGTGGTTCAGAGAGGTGGTGAACCCTCCAAACCCTCATCTAGTATTTATTTATTTATTTATTTGATTTCATAAAAATGTTCCTTGTTGCCTCTCCCCCTCAAAGCTTCCTTTTTTTGCAGCTTTCACAAAAGATTTTTTTTATATAAATTGACTCTCATTTTGCTTTCTTTTACAAATTTGGAAGAATTATTTTTTTATAATTTTTCCCCATCTTTTCTTTATTATGATTTTGTCCCAACTTTAAATGTATTTTAAAATTTTGATTCAAAAGTTAATTACTTTTTTTTTCAAAAAAGATGATTTCTTAAACATACAAACTTTTCCTAAAAAAATTTATAACTTTTTCTTTGTGTTATTTTTTTAGACAAAACTTCAAAAATGGTCCCTGTGGTTTTCGAAAATATCAAGTTTAGTCCCTAATTTCAGAAAACCTCACAGATGGTCCCTGTGGTTTCAAAACTTTTAACAAATTGTCATTTTCTCTAACTCCGTTAACATTTACTATTAAGTGAAGGGCATTTCTGTCATTTCACCACCACAGGGACCATTTATGAAGTTTTGCCTTATTTTGTAAAAAAAAAGGGCCCCACCCTCTCTCTCTCTCTCTCTCTCTCTTCCCTTCCCTTCCCGTTTTTCTTCACCACCGGCCAAGAAGAGGCTGCCGACCATCGGAGTTTTCCCATACCACCCTTCGAGCTCACCACCATCGCGTAGCACCCTCCCTTGGTCATTGTTGTCTTCCATCCGTTCCCACAGTCCCGTTGTTGGGTTAAATACCGAGGAAGAAACGAACTCGTCGGAAAAACGGGATCGTCGGTCTCGGCAACAGATCTTCCACACCAAACCTTTTCTACTTCCTGTGTGTTTTTTTCCCTTCTCGAATTGATGAAGACGATGACCACAACCCCTATTAGTTGTAACCTGTGAATACAACCTTGTAAATATGATTGGAGGAAGTCCAGATGATTCCATTCAGGTGAATACTCAATTCACGATATCTATTTCCCGTTTCTTCTGTATGAAAAAATTGAAATTGTCAAAATGCCCTAATGTTCTAGGTAGAATAGATTACTATCATGTAACTCAATTTTGTATTGTTCCTTGCTTGTTGCCATTGCTGGTGTTGTCTAGCCCTAGTTGTAACTGGCTAACAGCTTCAAGTTGCTTAATTCATCGTCTTTACAATACAAATTTGTAGATGGTTCTGCATCTGGTTCTAAAACTGGCGGTGGTTGGGAACGAGTGGGTGAACAGTGGTGTATCGTGGACAAAACTTCGATCTTGTTAATGAAAGTGGACATCAGGTAATTAAGTTTTGTCATATAGATTGAAAATTGGGTGAACAATGGTGTATCGTGGTGCTTCAATCATGAAATTCCCCCTGACTGAAGATTACTTCAAGAGAATCGATGTAATTGAATTCACCATAAAACAAGATGACGGAACTTTATCCTAGAACTTACACAACTCAGACATTGTTCTTGCTGGTGTTTGACGAACAGGGAAGATTCCATTGTCGGTATCACAGATTCGACGGAGGAGGGTGGAGGAGGCTGGAAAAGGTGAGGCAACTCCGATGGTCGGCAGCCTCTTCTTGGCCGGTGGTGAAGAAAAACAGGAAGGGAAGAGAGAGAGAGAGAGAGAGAGAGAGAGAGAGAGGGGGGGTGAGGCCCTTTAATATTAAATAATTATATTTTTTTCTTTTTTTTTTACAAAATAAGGCAAAACTTCATAAATGGTCCATGTGGTGGTGAAATAACAGAAATGCCCTTCACTTAACGGTCAAATGTTAACGGAGTTAGCGAAAATGACCATTTGTTAAAAGTTTTGAAACCACAGGGACCATTTGTGAGGTTTTTTGAAATTAGGGACTAAACTTGATATTTTTGAAAACCACAGGGACCATTTTTGAAGTTTTGTCTTTTTTTTAAGTTGGACAATTTCTTTTAAAACTTTGTTTTTTAGGAATTTTACAATTTTTACCATTGTTCTTTAAACTTTTTTGTTTTAAAAGCTCACACCCTACTTCTCTACATAATTTTTTGCATATGAAATTTTTCGCACAAACGCGCCGAAGGGTATTACCCCTCATAAACATTTTAGTAACCGCCTCCAAGGTTATTAGGGGAAAATATTTTTTATTTTTATCTCATTTTTTTACCATTATGATTAACCAATACTAACCATTAACCATAATCATTAACCAAAATCAATATTAACTAATATCCAATTACTACCAAAATGCATTAACCAATTATAATGATTATGGTTCGGTTTTAGCTAAAAATCGATCCAAACGGCCTCATACACACCCCTAATGATTATGTTATGTTGTTTTCAATTCATTTCTTAATTATGTGATACATAAATGTTGGAATTTTAATAAAACCTTTTATAGCTTTATAAGAAACCGAAAAAAGATAATAATAGTCATTAAACAAATTACAAATCAGTATAATCGGCTAAAAATATAACAAACCATTATGGTCGAACACTCGAACCTCTTTATCCCACCAATGCTTTTATGTTACTCTTTTAATTCTATAAAGAAATAATTTATCTTACATTAAACAATGAATTATAGATTAAAATGATTTTTTTTTTCTTTTTTATAAAAATAACAAGATCTAAATAAGTTGTAAGAAATTGAATACACTTTGTGCATTCGACTTTCAACTCGAGTTTTAATTTTAACAAAATTTCTAAGTTTTCCCACTTTACAATTTGATAAAATATAGCCTGCATAATGCTATTTTTTTGTTGCCATATTTACTAAATATTAAGGGTTAACTTGCATACATTTTAATATTGGCTCGATTAGTTAAAGCGTTTTGTGCCATCATTTGACCAAGATGCTACATTTAGCATGAGTGAAAAGATACCCTTCTTTTCTTGTTAACCATGGAAGGAATCCAAGCTAATCTTACAACATATCCATATGCACTTCAACCTCGTTCACTCATTCACTTTATTCTCCCTTTCCTTCATCTTCTAAGTTCTAAGCCATGCCCATAAAACCCCACAAACTGTTTTGTCTATCTTTCACCTTTTCTAGATCAAAAACAACAAAAAATGGCAATAAACGGTCAATATAATGTGGGTCAATACGTTGTACCATTCGTCTGTTTGTTGATCATAGTCATGGATCTCACCGCAGGGATTCTCGGTATTCAAGCTGAGATAGCCCAAAACAAGGTACGTTCTTTGAGCTGTGAATTGAACTGAAACTGATGTCAATGAGACACAAAATTGCAATTTTTGTCACACCCAAAAAGTTAGGACAAAGATTCAATCTATATCTCTCGTTCATGCAAAATACGTAAAATCTCTCCTAATTATCATTAAAAAAAAACTAGAAAACTTGTCTTGTCCCATATTACAAAACACAACCTAAAAAATAGGAAGTTATGAAAGCTCCGTCCTAGAAAAAAAAATCATGTGAGACGTAAATCAATTGCACAACGGTCCGATAGGTGGCTGACATAAAAGTACATGACCCACAATGAGCCCAATTCACATTGGAAATTACAAATTTCACATTGTTTCTCTGAAACTCGAACCATTGTGCATCACATTGTTTCTCTGAAACTCGAACCATTGTGCATGTCTACCACCTCAAAACCAACTATGCATCGCCCTATGGCAAAAACTTATGATTATGGGCTCACATGTTGTATTTTAAATATGTTGTGTGTTCTTGTAGGTGCAAAATCTAAGAGTATGGATCCTCGAATGTCGAGATCCAAGTTATCAAGCATTCAAACTAGGGTTTGCAGCCGCGGTGCTTTTGGCATTTGCTCACGCCATTGCAAACTTATTTGGTGGGTGCCACATCGTATTGTCCAAACCAGAGCTAGACCGAGCCACCTCCAACAAACAATTCGCCATGGCTTCACTCATCCTATCATGGTACACTTTTTTCACACTCATTTCTCACTTACCATTTTGCATTAAAAACTTGTGCATTACGAATCAACCTTTGTACCAGGATTACATTAATCATTGGATTCGGGATGCTAATTGCTGGAGTCATGGCTAACTCAAGTTCAAGAAAATCATGTGGAGTTTCAAACCATCGTTATTTGTCAATTGGAGGCATTGCGTGCATCATTCATGGATTGTTTGCTGTTTCTTATTACATTTCTGCCACTGCTGTTGAAAAAGAAGAAAAGAAGTTGAACCCACATGGACCCACCATGATGAACCACCCCCCTGGACCAATGATGATCCCGCCTGGACCGGTTCATGCACCCTCAGCACCTGTTTGAATCTTGGATATTTTTTAGTGCTACATGTAAGAAATAGCAATGTAATTCTATTTATTTGTGTTTTATTGCATCTTACTTTCGGATTTTTCTGTTACACCATTGTAGTTTCAAACTTTTTAAAAGATTTGAAACTAACTATTGAATTAAAAAACATAGACATATACAGGCATCACAATCACAATATTATATACAGAATTATTAAGCTCTATTATAGAAACAAAGTTAAAAATTGCTACAATACAAGCTCAATTGATTTGTTCATCTTAAGGATACATATTACAACAAGTTAACTTTACCAAACTAGCATCCTAAAGATACCAAAACAAACATATTACACACATAACAAAGCCTAACTTTTTTTTTTTTTTGCAGAACTCCTAAACAAATACAACACATAATAACAATGTACTTTAATTATCACCAGAATTCACCATAGCATTCAACACGATCTCCCCTTGCTCTTTCAAAAGCTCCACCTTCTTCAAGAAATGCTTAAGTTCTTGAACCTTAAGATTCTTCCATTTTTCTTCCATTTCTAACTTTTTAGGAGCTGAAAGCAACTCTAACCCCTTGTTCATAATCGCCTCATCTGTAAACATGAACCCCATTGAACCATGGTCCGACCTCAGGGGCTGCACCACTTCCGGTTCAACCTCTTTAGGGGTCACCTCAGGTTCAGGTTCAGGTTCAACCCCTCCATTCACATTACTCTTACGATTCTTGTTTGGTTTGGGTGTCACGTTGACTTTCTTGATGGTGGAACTCATGACTACATTCTTATTACTATCATTACCCCATAAGTTTTTTGATAATTCATACATTTTCTTCTCATGGGGATTCGAAAAAGATCGAACTTTTTTACTTTGGTTCTCAGCTCTGGCTACGTTGTTTTCGTACTTCTTCCTCAGTCTTCTAACTTTGGCAATCACTTGTTTGTTGTTGACATCGACATGAAGTGATTTCTTCACGAAGTCATGAAAATCGTTGACATCTGCAACGGGATCTTTACCCTTTTCATTAACGTAATTGATCATACCTTCGATTAGCTCAATTTCGTTGTCTTCACTCCAGAGTCTTTGAAAAAGTTGTTTCTTTTCACCACCATTACCCGCATCCGGTGCCGCCACCGCGACCACCGTCTTCTTCTTTACCCTCTTCAAATCCTGAGGTTCACCCTCCGCCGCAGGCCGTTTTCCGGTGGATGATTTAAGAGGAGGTGGTGAATAGCGAGTGGTAGGAATCTTGGATCTGGGTTTTTTCGATTGGTCATCTTCCATGGGCTTCGAGGCTATGGGTTTGATACTCGGGTCGGGTATTGTTGACTTCTCAGAAGACTTATCGGTGTCGGATTCAGACTCTGAGCCCGATTCGTCAGAAGATGAATTGTGGGTGAGTTGCGTTTTCTTGGAAGAAGGTGGAGGTGTTGACGTCTTGTCGGGCTCCGATTCTGATTCCGACCCTTCAGACGAAACTTCTTCTTCTTCACCGGAGGATGAATTCGCTGGTTCACTCTCCGATCCGGCCATTGTTGGTAAGAAAGAGCTGAGCTTGTTGCGATAAATCTAGGGTTTCTTAGTGGAGAAATGAGAGAGGTAGGGTCTGGTGATGTATTGCAGCTAAACAAGAATTCAGTCGTACGCGAAACACGATGCTTATCGAGACTCCTTGGCGTTTGGCTCGTGTTTCGGAATCGGTCATAAGGATGTAATTGGCGGATTTGGAAACAATTTCGAAACAATTTAATCTTTAACATTCTTAGGTGTGGGCAACTGGATGTAACATCAAATTGGTGCCACCTCATTCATAACACCACCATAACACCAATGGGGAAATGGTTTTCCACATATTATATCATGTTAAGAGGTAGACAGAGAAAATTAAGAAAATTATTTGATTGGTTGATGAAGGAGATAGCCAATCATCTTTTTTGTTTTATCTTGTCCTCGTTACCACAAGATCCAACATAACGAGCTTCAACGAGTTGGGGGGGCGGTGTTCCCCGCGTCGTGACGTCGTTTTTGTGTGCCAACTCAGCCAATTCGTTTCTCATTGTGACCCACACCGTATACTCTTAAACATCAGCTTTTTGGATGCCACCTCATTTTTTTTCATTTAACACCTAAGGTTAGCATTTGGTAAGGGGTGGTAACACTCCTAACACTTCATCTTTTTTTTTCTTTTTCTAATTTAATTAAATTACTTTATTTTAATACACAAACATTTTTTATGCATGAATATTAAACAAATTTTATTTTTTTAAACCAAAAACATTTAATATAATATGAATTATATTTTTTAAAACGTACTTCATAACCATATCCTATTTATACTAAACTAATTAGAATCCTAAACTAACTCAAAACCTTAAATTAGGAAAGTTTTCCCAAAATACCCCTGGGACCAAATTCAACTACATCTAACATTACATGTTCCATGACCATTTAAGCTGCAACCTTCCAAAAAATGGTAATACTCGGTAGACTGATGGCACCCTTTCTGCAAGCAATGATTTCTGTCATGAAAAAGGAGATTAAGAAACCATTTAGCAAGATAAAAATCAACATGCTTAACCATATACAACTATGAGAATCCTAACCTTCTTTTATGTAATATTCTGATTCTAAACACAAAAGTTCAGTTAAATGTAATAGACACGTTATAAAAAAAAAGAGCAGAAACACCTGATGAAAGCCGACCTTTTAGAGCAAAAATATACATTGATAAACTGAGGCTAGTTTGGGATTACAAATAGAGCAAAAGCATAGTATCAAAGTCAGATTATAGTTGTAGTTCTTTGTTTAGACATTTCATCAAACAGTTGGGGCACAAACAAAAAGTTCGACTATAAATTCTCAAAAAAAATATATTAAAAATGAGATACAATCATATCAAAAAGAGTTCCTATCTCAAAATCGAACAACAAACAAGGAACACACTGACCTAATTTCACAGAAGTGTAGTAATAATCTGTAAAATTGGCATTGGCATGCTAAATGTATGTGTTCTAGAAAGGTATTTCTTTACCTGTATGTTTATTCCCATTCTGGAGAAGGAGACTTGTTTGAGAATAAAAATCACGGCAAGCCACAGATCATCATGGAAAGAAATAAAATAAAAATCAGGGGAAGTTAAAGTAAATCAAAATTAGAACCCTAGAATGGAGAAAACGATGATACCTTTGAAAATCTTATGCGAATATGCAAAAGATTTGACAGGAACAAGAATCAACCACTTAAAACCTTTCTCTTTCTTCTCGTTACTCCACTGGCGAGGCTAGGTTGGCGCGCCCCTTGGCGCATGGCAGGGGGCGGTGTTTGGCGAAGGTGGCGACCGGTGGCGAGTCTCCTAGCGATTCCCACTCCCTTTAGCCTAAGTAAGGTCGTAAACAAAATTAACGTTCCACTAACCGTTTGTGAACCATTAAGCGAGAAGTCTCTTTATATTCGTTTATTTAATAAATGAACGAACATGTACACAAATTCTTGTTCGTTTAGTTAAATAAACGAATATGAACAATGCTCTCATTCATTCATTTATGTTCGTGAACGTTTGTGTTCGTTTGTTTAAGTTAATTTATGTTCATATATGTTTAATTTTTTTTATTACATTACTATATTATATGTTTGTTTATGTTCATATATGAACAATTGTGTTTGTTTATCTTTGTTCGTTTATGTTCGTTTTGTTATGTTCATTTAACATGTTCACAAACATAAATGAGGAACATGAACAAGAAAACTTGTTCGTTGATCCGTTCGTATTTGTTTGTTTGTTCGACTAACTTAAACGAACGAATATTAACAAGTTATTGTTCGTGTTCATTCAACTCGTTTACAACTAAATAGTGACAATAGTCGACGCGACACAATAAAAATACACGATAAGAAACAAAATTAGGATAAAATCGAATTTTTAGTTTGTGTTGTGTCATGTTCGTGTTTAAAATTCGACACACTAATAACATGATAATAGCACGAAATATTGTGTTTGTGATGTGTCTGTGTCATGTTTGTCTTCATGTTCAAAAGTTGTGTAGCGCCAAATTCCAGGTATATATACTTCTTTTGTGAATACGACTTTCAAGTTCAAAGATGTAACGTCCCAAAAATACTGATGATGATATATGGTCCACTAGCATGGCCTAGATAGCTCCGGCGTGCCAGCCTCGCCTGACGCTCCCTTGCCAGCCTTGCTGGGGACTCTCCCGCCGGTCCGGCCTGGCTCTCCCTTGCCAGCCCTGTTGGGGACTCTCCTGCCGGCCTAGCCTGGCGCTCCCTGGCTTGGCGCTCCCTTGCCAGCCTTTCCTGGTGCGCGCCCGCCAACCTTGCCTGGTGCGCGCTCGCCAGCCCCTCCCGGCGCCTCCGGGCGGCCTCACCCAGCTCCTTGCTAGCTGGGCCTGAATTGGGCTGGCCCAAGGCCTGACCTAATTGTCCCCTATATAATGAATAATATCTCCTCCATGGAGAGGGACCTTCCCTATGGCTCAGCCGCCACTATACTCCGGCCGGGTGGCTCAGCCGCCACCCGCCGCCGTCAGCCACCATACACCACCACCAGCACCAAGATGGTTCTCTCCAGCTATGGAGGACCATCTCAGATCTTCTAGTTGATCTAACTTGATCGTCGGAGTCCGCTCCCGGGGCACAATCCCTGGGGCGGCTCTAACGCATCTCTCTGATTGTGATGTCCAGATCTCCGCCGCAGCAGAAGACCAGAAGACGTTGGAGGTCGATGTCGCATCATTTGGCGTCATCCCGGATTCGAGCAAGTAGCAAAAGCCTCAGGTGGTTTCAAGCTCGTTTTTCTCTCAGATCTGTTCAGATCTGTTATGCTTCAGCTCATGTTTGCTCAGATCTGTTCATTTCTAGCACCATTTAGTTCAGATCCGTTTGGCTTTTGCCATGATCTGTTCAAATCGATTTGGTTTTTGACAAGATCTTTTCAGATCTGTCTAACCATCGTTCAGATCTTTTGATTTGCTTGTTTTTTCGTTCAGATCTTTTGATCTGTTTGAGTTTTCTCTCTTAGATCTTCAGATCTGCCTTGTTTTTGCTCAGATGTCTAGATATGTTTTGTTTTAGTTCATCTGAGCAACTCTCAAGTCTTAAAGGACTTTATCAGATCTCATTTTCATGGATTATTTAGAAAGCTGGGGAGAAAAGATATTTCTATGAGTTTTTCCCCATTTTGTTCATATTTTCGAGTTTTACCCAGCAAATGGAAGAACAAACAATATTTTGCAAGTTTTTACTTCTTTTGCTTGCTCATTTTCGAGAAAATCGGTCTCTGTTTCCTGATTTCTCATGTACAACTTCATTCAAGTAGTTTATTTGATGCTTCCTCTAGAAGCTTAGAGATGGAAAACAAAAGATTTTCAGATCTGTTGAGCAAGTTGAAGAGTAAAGAAGGTTTAGTGAGGATAAAACTTAGTTAGATCCATTTCGTGTTTAGTTCAGATCTATGGATCTATATGATTTTCTTCACTCAAATACTCCCCAAATCTGCAAAAACTTTCTTAGATCTGTTTTTTGTTTATATCTTGGGGGTTTGTTTCAGAAGAAAAGAAGTTTTATGAACAACATCCCACCTCAGATCCGTTTTTTCACTTTTAATATGGGATTTGTTCAGCAAGTAGTGAGAAAAGATGTTTTTAAGAGTTTTTATTTCATCTTCAGTTCACATATTACCAAAAATCGTTTTTAGCTATGATTTTTTTTTGTATGCAATCCCATCTCTGCAATAATTGGTTATACACCTAGTTGTGTTGACGTCTCAGAACCTTAAAAAAAAGGGATGGAGAAAAGAGATTTTTATGAGTTTTTACCTCAGCTTAGTTCATATATTTTTAAAAAAACCTCATGTAGATTATGATTTTCTGTACATTCAAGTTGCTTAAAAAGCTTGGAGAAGAAAAAAAAAAGAGAGGGTGGGTTTTCACGAGTTCCTGCCCTATCTTCAATATATTTTGGTGTTTTGAGTAGAAATTTTTTTTTTATAAAATCTTGTCTCATCTGACACACATACATAACCAGAAAATCTCTACATATGAGTTTTTCTGCATACAATTTCATTACCTGAAACATTTGTTTGTACACACAGCTATGTTACTCGTACATCTCACAAAATAACCAATAAAAAAAATGGTTCCAAGGTCATATTTCTACATTTTACCTCAGACATTTACCATACAAATTTACAATTCACTGCTCAAAGTGGTAATATATATATATATATATATATATATATATATATATATATATATATATATATATATATATATATATAACAAGAATGGGCTGTTACTCTCAAATCAAAAAAAAAAGAGAGAGAAAAAGATATGTACGTGAGATGTGTTTGGTCAAAAAGATATATGCACTTGTCTAATCAAAAAGAGGGGTGAGGGTGCACAGTGCACTAGAGACAGACAATGATGTCAACAAAAACCAAAAACTTGTGTGGGGCCTACGTGGTCCAATCCTCAATGAACAGGAAAGACAGAAGAGTCGGTGCCCGCACGGTCAACACACCTTCTCAGGCAGTCAAAGACCCCGACCCTCCATATTCTCTATTCACCGCCAAAGCACCCGTTAGCCTCTAGGGACAGCGACCCCAATGTTGATCGTTGTCAGTGTCACCCGCAATTGCCCTAGCCGGCAGACCTTCAACAAGTGATGCAGTTAACCGACACCGCCATCAAGCTCACTGAAGTTTCA